AGCGAGGAAGAGGGGGCGGGGACAGAGAAGGGGGCGGGACAGAGAAGGGGGCGGGGACAGAGAAGTGTTAATTTGTGTTATTAGTAATAGCAGTAATAGAAGATGCAGTAATAACCCCCAACACTGGTGTCAGTGAGTGTAATAATAACCCCCATCACTGGTGTCAGTGCGGCAATGTGGGGGCCTTTGGTAAAACTGGTTCTTCCCTAACAGTACACAGACAGCCCACCACCAAGCACCCGTCCACTGACAGCGGCACCAACACCACAGTCTAGGGGGGGGGGGGGATTGAATTAAATTCAAGGAGATCCGGTCACTAAAATTATCTTCTGGCCGAGGTCTGAATAGGGTGTGCCCATCAGTGTGCCCCCTTATATTAGGGGTCACCATCAGAGTGCAACTTTACATCGTGTATTCCCATCACATCAGTTGTTCCCATCAGAGTGCCCCTTTACATCAGTTGTTCCCATCAGAGTGCCCCTTTACATCAGTTGTTCCCATCAGAGTGCCCCTTTACATCAGTTGTTCCCATCAGAGTACCCCTTTACATCAGGTGTGCCCATCAGAGTGCCCCTTTACATCAGTTGTTCCCCATCAGAGTGCCCCTTTACATCAGGTGTTCCCATCAGAGTGCCCCTTTACATCAGGTGTTCCCACATCCCCATCAGATTGCCACCTTTTACATCAGGTTTTCCCGAGTCAGAGTGCCCCCATACAAGTACCCCTTTCTATCATAGTTTCCCCATCAGTGGGCACATGTTATGTAAGGGGCACTCTGATGGGTACATGTTATGTAAAGGGGCACTCTGATGGGTACATGTTATGTAAAGGGGCACTCTGATGGATACATGTTATGTAAAGGGGCACTCTGATGGGTACATGTTATGTAAAGGGGCACTCTGATGGGTACATGTTATGTAAAGGGGCACTCTGATGGGTACATGTTATGTAAAGGGGCACTCTGATGGATACTGTTATGTAAAGGGGCACTCTGATGGGCACATGTTATGTAAAGGGGCACTCTGATGGGCACATGTTATGTAAAGGGGCACTCTGATGGATACATGTTATGTAAAGGGGCACTCTGATGGATACATGTTATGTAAAGGGGCACTCTGATGGGCACATGTTATGTAAAGGGGCACTCTGATGGGCACATGTTATGTAAAGGGGCACTCTGATGGGCACATGTTATGTAAAGGGGCACTCTGATGGGCACATGTTATGTAAAGGGGCACTCTGATGGGCACATGTTATGTAAAGGGGCACTCTGATGGGTACACTGATGATGGGCACATGTTATGTAAAGGGGCACTCTGATGGGCACATGTTATGTAAAAGGGGCACTCTGATGGGCACATGTTATGTAAAGGGGCACTCTGATGGGCACATGTTAAGGGGGCACTCTGATGGGCACATGTTATGTAAAGGGGCACTCTGATGGGCACATGTTATGTAAAGGGGCACTCTGATGGGCAGATGGGCACATGTATGTAACATGGGCACTCTGATGGGCACATGTTATGTAAAGGGGCACTCTGATGGGCACATGTTATGTAAAGGGGCACTCTGCTGGGCACATGTTATGTAAAGGGGCACTCTGATGGACATATTCTATGTTGTGCCCATCATCAGAGTGCCCCTTTAAGACTACACCCTACCTTGAGGGCAGACAGGAGCTGTACCGGGACCCTTGCTGGACTCTTGTGTACAGGCAGGGAGAGGGAGCCGTAGAGACAGTGAGATGAAAGGGCGGGGCGCGCACACGTGATGTCATGTTGCCATGATGACCGCCCTGCTCAGTGGCGGATCTCTCATTGAGGGCTGGTGGTCCGGGGGCGGCACTGCTGGGGGCTGTTCGCGGCTCACCATTTAGTGACCGTTGGTCTAGGGGACGGCTTTTTAAGATTTACTGGGTGAAGAAACTTTAACAGGAGAGGGTTCGGGGGTGGGGGGACTGCAACACGAATGGCGCACAGCAATTAGAGGACAGGCTTGGGAGTATTGTGACAGTCTAAAGCCTCACAGCTGGGGAACATGAGGCAAGTTTCTTTGGCTTCTGGCTACCTTGTGCCTACATACAACTACTTGTAGCCAATGTGTCATCCAGAACACAGCACAGTCACAGGGATCAATTTAGGGTCTTTACTCACAAGTCCCCAGGACAGCTGCCACCTTCCAGCTAACTCCAAACACAGTCCAGGGAGTGAGACAGTCCTTGTCCAGAGCAGATCCCTTGTGGGGAGGTCCTACAATCACTTCCTAAGAACATCCAACCAGACCCTCAGCAGCTACACAGTCCATGAGCTGGCTGAGGGCAGCAGCCCCTCCGGCTCTAGAATTTACCTGAGAGACACCCAGCTCTCTGGCGCTTCAGACTACTTATCACCTTTCCAGCCCCCTACTGGACACTCCTCTCCTGGGATTGGTTGGAGTATCATAAATATCCAAACTGGCTATTTGCATCTCCTTCCCTAAGCTCTGGAAGCTTCTAGAGGCAGGGAAAGCGAACCAGCCTGTGAAACCCCTAAAAAGACCAAGACAAGTGATCACTGCTATCTTGATAAAAGGAGGAGCCAAAAACTAAATTTACCCAGCATCCTACACTAGGGGGGGGGGGGGGCATTTATGACCCTCTTTATGAATTCCAGGGGTAGAGTTCCTGTTGGTGGTGATGTCACCATACCTCCCAATGCAGGTAAAGAGCACCACCCCTGCCACGCCCCCATCATGAGGACACACTCCTCTCCTGCACATACTTCCCCATACCCTCCACACTCCTCTCCTGCACATACTCCCCATCATACCCTCCACACTCCTCTCCTGCACATACTTCCCCAATCATACCCTCCACACTCCTCTCCTGCACATACTGCCCCCTGTCATACCCTCCACACTCCTCTCCTGCACCCTCCCCACATACCCTCCACACCTCTCCTGCACATACTGCCCCCTGTCCCTCCACACTCCTCTCCTGCACATCCCCCCCACATCCTCACACTCCTCTCCTGCACATACTGCCCCGTCATACCCTCCACACTCCTCTCCTGCATACTTCCCTTCCCCTGTCATACCCTCCACACTCCTCTCCTGCACATACTGCCCCCTGTCATACCCCCACACTCCCCTCCTGCACATACTTCCCCATCATACCCTCCACACTCCACTCACACTCCTCTCCCCTGTCATACTCCTCTCCCCCTACTCCCCCTGTCATACCCTCCACACTCCTCTCCTGCACATACTGCCCCCATCATACCCTCCACACTCCTCCTGCACATACTGCCCCATCATCACCCTCCACACTCCTCTCCTGCACATACTGCCCCCTGTCATCCACACTCCCTGCCACACTCCCCGTCTCCTGCACACTCCTCCCTGCACATCATACCCTCCACACTCCTCTCCTGCACATACTCCCCCTGTCATACCCTCCACACTCCTCTCTGCACATACTGCACATACTCCCCCACATACTGCCCCTGTCATACCCTCCACTCCTCTCCTGCACATACTGCCCCGTCATACCCTCCACACTCCTCTCCTGCACATACTTCCCCCTGTCATACCCTCCACCCTCCTGCACATACTTCCCCCTGTCATACCCTCCACACTCCTCTCCTGCACATACTGCCCCTCCTCTCCTGCATACCCTCCACACTCCTCCACTCCTCTCCTGCACATACTTCCCCATCATACCCTCCACACTCCTCTCCTGCACATACTGCCCCTGTCATACCCTCCACACTCCTCTCCTGCACATACTGCCCCGTCATACCCTCCACACTCCTCTCCTGCACATACTGCCCCCTGTCATACCCTCCACTCCCTCCTGCACATACTGCCCCTGTCATACCCTCCACACTCTCTTCCTGCACATACTGCCCCTCATACCCTCCACACTCCTCTCTGCACATACTGCCCCCTGTCATACCCTCACACTCTCTCTGCACATACTGCCCCCGTCATACCCTCCACACTCCTCTCCTGCACATACTGCCCCGTCATACCCTCCACACTCCTCTCCTGCACATACTGCCCCTGTCATACCCTCCACACTCCTCTCCTGCACATACTGCCCCGTCATACCCTCCACACTCCTCTCCTGCACATAGTTCACCCAACAAACTCTCTGTACTTCTCTCTACTCTCATTTACCCTTGTGTTGCCCTCTGAAAAAGCAATCTGTGGTGGATCACTCACTTTTCAGAGGACTATTGAAAGGCAGTGAGTTGACATTACATCACCTCCCTATTGCCTATTTGAACTCCTAACATCCCTCACCGCAACTGCCTTCCAAACTCAACAGAGACAATTACTTCCGTGCAAAAATACATGCTAAGCTACCTTTGCAGCTTGGGGAGGTCAGTAAATACAGGTCAACCACCATTGTTTTTATCACTCCCCCAACCACATGTCCCGATTCTTGTGTAAAATTGCCCCGGCATTACTGCAATCATATATTTATCTTGACCTCGGAGGGCAGGCTTGCTCATAGACTGTCAGAGCCTGGGATCAAACCTGGGCCTTCTGCGGTGAGAGGCAATGTCTCTACTTGCTGAGCCACCTGGAATGCTGGACAGCGCCCTTGACAACGGTTTGGATGATCCTGCCTTGGCCCTGTTTGTCTTGAACCTTGAACCCTTGCTCCTCCCCCACCTCCTGATAAAAGCCATGTCTCTGCATTTCCTCTTTGCCAGATTATTGTGCCTTCACCAGCCAATATCCCGCTTGTCTCTCCTACTGCCGTCTATACCTATACCTTCGCTACCGACCTTTGGCTTGTTCCTGGACCGACTACGATTCTGCTCATCCTCATCTACTACTACCGTACCGTTTGTGACCGACCCTTGGCTTGTTGACTGACTCCGCTTCTGCTTGATCCCTAACCTGTTCAATCTGCTACTGGTTTCCGGCTTGCTCATTCCCTGGTGGGGTGATCCTGAGATCTGTGACCTGGTACCAACACACAGCCAAATCCATCTCCACCATTAGGAGCTCTGGTGAACACCGGTTGGTACTTAGACTCCACACCTCGGGTGATCCCACTCCTCTGCCACAGTGACCTGCCTGTGTACCTATCCTGCTGGTTTCAGGTAAGCCTTTCCACTGCTATAGCAACTGGTCTCTGAACCTGACCCCTGATCGTGACACATTGCTTACAAAGAGGATAAAATGGTAACAAGCTGATTTGTAATAAATCCATATTAATGCATTCCATACATCATTGGATATACAATTGTCTCTATACAATCCAGATGTCAATACAGAATTACAATAAAATTGCATCCAAAAACTCGCCGTGTTTCGTGACTCTTAGTTCACTTCTTCAGGAGTAGATGCAGGTATAATATCTGCAAGGTAAATCATCAAGTATATAACAACCTAGTGGGATCTTGTAATATTTGAAGTCGTTCCGATCTCAAGAGTCACACAAGAGGGACCCTAATACTTACAAATCAGCTGAAAATATATGACAGTATTTCCAAATGGTGATGGCCAGGGGAGTCTCACCCGGGAGCTGTGGAAGGATGACTCCACGAGAACCCAAGGGGACAAGCCAGAAGCAGATTCAAAGTGGGTGGGCAATTCTGATAGCACCCAAAGTAGTTACTATGGAAAGAAATTTGGATATACACTATAGTAATAAAAATGAATGACAAAATCAAGATGAGTGATAAACGACAAAAACAACTTGTAATGCTGGCTGCAGTATAGAAGTGAGTAGGGAGACATAGTGAGCGATTATATGAAAGGTGCAAGAC